ATGAGCTCTGCCGGCGCTTACGACACTGTAACGCAGAATTCAGTGCTACGTTAAGATTTGTTCAAATGCTCAACTAAACCTTCAGTGCATGTAAGAACACATAACATGCACATGATACTGGTAGATGTTACACAGGAGTTAAATCTAATAATGATAATAATAATAATACAGCTGAAGAAACCTTTGAACGCATCGTTTCATGAACAGTTCAGTGGCTGATGGTGGTCGTTGTTAAAGCAGAGAGTTCACTGCATGTCGTCCATCCCTCCTCTGGGTGGTGCTCAGTGGCCTGTTTAAACCACCACAGCTGCTGCTTAGCGCTTATCTTAGCAACCAGGCCCAGATGACAAGTTGGGGCTTGTCTGCTGTGTGAGGCCAGTGGGCTGAACTTCCTCAGCCTGCAGAGCAGCAGGGTGACTGCTCTGGATCATGCTGCTCTGCTCTGCTGCCACCAGCCTGGACTTTAGAGACACACAGAGAGCCTCGGTCTGCTGTTAAACTGCTCAAAACCTGCGACTGACACTGGTAAGTGACTTTAAATCTGTTTTGTTTTCTTACAAGTGGCAGAAATTACAATTCCTTTTGGATGATTTGACTTTCAAAACGCAGAAAGTCAGCTGACAGCCTGGAGGAAAATGCAACAGTGTCATCAGCTGCTTTTGTGAATATACAAGCTGCAGGACAGAGCGATCGTCTGCACCTCATCACTGGCTTTTAAACAGCTCTGTTTCTGCGAGGCCTTCATGTACGGAACAGTAAAACTTTATTGATGATCAAGCAGCGATAATCTGCACTTTACTGCCATTTAAATGTGCAGCACATGTCAGAAACTGAAAGTAAAGCTTTGATGAAACTTCAGAAAACAGGAAATGGGTGTGATTCGGCTATTGGACCCCAACAAAGCGCAGGTGGGTGACGTGATACAGAACGCCGCTTCCTGCAGTGTGATGCACAACACAAGAAGGCAAACGGAAGAATGTGATGAGTAGTGATGACTGCTTTATGTTCTACACTGCTGCTAGACTTTGTGTCACTTCTGTCCCTTTGTTGTGGCACGTCGGCTCGGCAAAGGAGGATAAACAAGTTGTGGGTGTTTTCAGTAGGAAGTTGCACGTTCAGGGTCCAGAGGTTCCTGCCCACCACAGCCGAGCACAGTGTGATTCATGTGTATGACAATCTGCGTACGTGATCAGGCTTCCCGCTTCTATTAGCTGTGGGAGGTGGAAATGAGTCAGACCGAGAAGCAACTTCGTGTTTAAAGATTTCATTCACTGATTTCATAAACGGTGAACCATAGAGAGCTCTTCTAACCGTTCAAAGACTCGTCTGTGGGACTCCACATAGAGGAAACTGCAGGCGGCTGCTGTCTGAACGTAAGTAATGCGTGAGTGTGTGGATCCTGGGTGACAAAATTAATTTATACTAACTTGTTGTAGACAAATGAGCCTCAAATAAAAGCTGATACACTTTAGGTGGACAGAGGCTCGTTTTGGAAATGGCTCTTTGCTGAATGAAGCCAGGTTGAGCAACTACTTGAACATTAAAAGGAAATCGCTGTGTCATCAGTGGAAGAAACGACGAGCTCAGTAGGGTTGTGACCTGTAAACACGATGCCAAACCTGAATGGTTTTATGACACGTTGTAGAAAAAAACAATTCGATCTTTAGACAGACTCAACCTAAAAATGAGGAAGGAGGAGTTTTACCAGCAGAGGACAAAGTCTTCAAATCTTTCTAACAGACCTACAACAACATCATCAAACCGCTGTTAAAAAAAACAAACTGGTTCTTGTGAGAGCAGACGTCGACTTAACCTACTATAAATTTTTCATGATTGGGCCCAAGGCAGCTTAATCATTCTGCTTACAGACACCATGGCTCCCTGGCATCTCAAACATTTCTCCTGTTGCACGCTCGATTTTCCGACCGACTACAAAACAAACTCGCCCAACAAATACCAGAGTTGCCAGAAGAGGAAAGAGTGAGCCGTGTTTGTGGAATCTCCCTGTGTGAGATGTGCAGCAACAGGTGTGACTGATCATGTTTGTGTGTTCGTAGCAGGACTTACTGATGAAGTAATAAACAACAGGGATGTAAAACGGTGGTTAGTGATTAGCACAGGCTGTAAGAATGATAACAGTAATAACAATAAATCATCACAACTCCAGACGACAAGGAACAGTTTTGGCAAATGAGCCTTTTCACCTTCCTGCTGAGAGTTAAATGTAAATACTTTCCAACTTCAGTATACAACAACAGCGAGAACAATTAGTGGATTGTCAGGAAAATAATCTGCAACGATATTAAAGATCAATTAATAATTTCATTACAAGGTGGAGCGGTGGTTGGTACTGCTGCCTCACAGCTGGAAGGTCGCTGGTTCGCGAGGACACCTGGGATCTAGTTTGCATGTTCTCCCCGTGCAGCGTGGGTTCTCTCCGGGTTCTTCGGCTTCCTCCAAAAACATCCAAAAACATGTTGAGGTTAATTGGTGATTCTAAATTGTCCGTAGGTGTGAATGTGAGTGTGCTTGGTTGTCTGTCTCTAAGTGTAGCCCTGTGACAGACTGGTGACCTGTCCAGGGTGTCTCCTGCCTTCACCCTGAGTCAGCTGGGATAGACTCCAGCCCCCTGAGACCCTAATGAGGATTAAACGGTGTATAGATAATGATGGATGGATTTTTTTGACTGAAATTAGCTGAAACAATAAAAAAATAATTGAGGTTTATCCTAAAACATAATTTTTTTTTTTAAAAATCTCATCACACACATATCTACTGTTTTTTTTAATTGAATTCAGAAAATGTTTTTACATTTTTGTCTGTGTGTAAATAATTACAATCCAAAACTCTTCATGAGCGTCAACAGAAGCTAATTTACAAAGTTGGAATCACTCAGTCTGGCAGTTTGCCTTTTATGCAAAGTGGTGCTAAGCTAACTAGCTACGTATTTACTGAACATGCTTAACTTGATATTTTGCTCCCAGCAAAAAAAATAAAAATGCAAATGTATATTTTCTAAACTGCCTGACTCTTCCTGTATGGCTGGATGACATCACAGCCATGTCTCTCCTGGCTGTGTCTAATAAGTACAACATAAGAGTGTTTTTACTTGATCTACTTCTTTATTAAAGTAACATCAACTAAGACACAAAGAGAAAGTCAAGCTCCACTAAAAACATGACATGTGTTGCCCTTGGGTTTAGAGTGGATCACTGATGTATTCTTTATGTGCCCTGATTGTCTGCGTGTTTTTAATGTTATTCTCTGTGTTTAGGCCTCCGTTCCTTCCTCTGACTCTTCCTGTGTGAGTGAGGGGGTCACTATGGCAACTGTGCCTCGGGGCAACATGAGAAAGCCGAGGTTAGGCCTCTGTGACGGTCTGATCGCTATGTTCAGGTTAGTGCTGCACTCATACGGTGGCCATCCTCTGACATATCAGACCGCACAGTCCCATCAGTGGAGGCCGTGTTGCTGTGCAGCCCACAGCCGTGATTACTGACGGCTACCGTCGACCACAGCAGGGCGACTAACATGCTTCATGTTTGGCATGATGAAGGCAACAAGGGCTGCTGACTGTTGCACCACTGCTGCTGGTGAACGGCACACAGGGCGCGGTTTGGATCGATCGTTTGTAAACATGCTTACTCGATGACGTTTTCTGAAAACCCCCAGGAAGAGTTTTTGTTGTTTTGTGGCCTTTTACAGTCAAATTTGTTCCTGCCCTCCCGTTAAAGAAGGAAAAAAACAGCTGTCACTGAAATAAGCTCAAATTGACAAAAGTAATAATAAATTAAAGCCGCAAGC